CTGATGCTGCTTGGCCTGCTGTGTTCATCCAGCTCTGCACCTTGTTATCTCTAATGTTCTGGGGAACTGGGTTCGAATCCCACCATGGCAGATGGTGGAATTTGAATCCAATAAAATATCTGGAATTAAGAATCTAAGTGACGACCATGAATCCATTGCCGATTGTCAGGAAAAACCCATCTGGTTTCACTAATGTCCTTTAGGGAAGGAATCCGTCATCCTTACTTGGTTTGGCTTACACGTGACTCCAGACGCACAACAATGTGGTTGACTACCAACTACCCTCCGGCAATAAATGCTGCCTGATCAGTCACACCCTCATCTCGTGAATGAATAAACACAAAAATAAAAAAAAACCTGTCACAGTGAATTGTGGATACATGGCCACATATTCAAATATATCACTTGTCACCTTGCTGAAGCTGTTTGATATCACAGCGCAGGTATGAAACTGACAGCTGAGAATGTCTCACAGCCAGCAGTGCACACCTGCGCAGTTTGCTGTTCTCATGACGACAATGAAGTTATCAATCTATTTTGCAAGGTCTGTACCCGATCCTAGAATTGTAAGTGTTTAAAGGGAACCTGCAGGGGTATAATTTCCTAAAAGCCCAAAGGAAGTGAAGCGTCATCGGTACTGGACCAGAAGGAACAAAAAGAGCCACTGTGCACTTTTTAGCCCAGTTTAATGGATCATTAAAGCAATGCTTTATGTAGCAAAAGTCCTAAGGAATGTTATAGGATCTTTTGCCTAGTGTTCTCAAGTCAATGGATTATGAATGATTCTTCACTGGAGTTACACTGACATTTTAGTGTCTGCTTCATTTAAATAGCTTCCAAGAGTGGCATCATAATTGCTAACTGTCATAAGACATGTCTGACACAAAAGTATTGCATGAATAATTAAGTGAGTGAATTAATGAGTGAATATATTTATGTATGAGTGAATGGGTGAGCAACATAATGGATTATTTGGTGAATGGGTTAATGAGTGTATGGTGAATGAATGAATGTTTTAAAGAATGGATGACAGTCAATGAATGGGTTAATAAATGAACAAATGACTGAGTGAATGAATGAACAAAGGAGTGATGAGCAATGGAACAGCTGGATTATTCAAATATTGAATACTCTCCTAAGGTGCATCTCTTAAGTTCAAATCATTAAGTGACTGGGTAACACTTGTTTTGGACCAGACTGAACTCCCTCAAAATATATTCAGAAAATAGCCTAGGCCCTAACTTTTACTTATTTTAAAGGTGAGTGTAAGGTGTTGCATTCCAGATGCAATTTGATTGGTTGAACTACTCGCTGTTGAGTAAAACACTCTTTATTCATAAACTATTGTTAAAATGCAACAAAAGAAGAAAGAAATTGGAATAACTTAACTCTGCTGGAAAATTTAACAGAATAATAGATTATTTAACTACTAAACAGTAACAGTTCCAACATGGTAGCATCCTACAAACACACCCTTGGCAAAGGCAAATCGGCAAAACAGATAGTCTCACATGTAATTCTAGTAGCCCTGGCTTTTAGTTGTAACAGAGAGAGGAAAAACAGCTTCCACATCCAGCTCCAAGACCATAGCAACTACTACTGAAACATTAAAACTAAAAATCCTGGTTCTGTGGGAGGTAGACCCACCCATTTAGCCTGCTTCTATTGTTCCAGCTTTTAAAAAAAGGCCTCACAAGCTGTTTACTTGATGGATTTCAATAGACAGCTTTACACCTCTGTCTTAAAACCTTTCTTCATATAAAAACAAATACACTTTTTAAAGTTATTGTATTGTCACACATTTACCTGTTGAGATTTTTGTCCAACTGATGATGGGAAGTGGATTCCCGGTTGCTTCACATGGTATAAATGCATCAGAATCTGCCACAAATGTGAAACTGGCTGTGTTTCCACCAATCAGTCTGGGTTTGGAGGGATGGTTCTGACTCATGGGATCCACAGCGATGATGTTGTGTGACAAAGCATTGGACCTGTTGAAAACATCATCTTTACCACCTTCATTCCCTATAGTGTTTTCAAGATCACCATCCAATTTGGGTGGTGCCACTCTGTATCTGGTTGGCCCCTCTGTAAAGCCCAGTGGTGTTTCCCATTTAGTCTCAGTACTTGTTTGCACAGTGCTTATGGCTTTGGTCTGCAGGTTTTGCCAAAGTGGCGTATCTATCCTGGATTCTGGCAGCAGAGGTTGGGCCTGCTTCGGAGGCTCAGATGTGGTAAACCTGCGTAAGGTGATGCGGAATCTGGACACGGTCCTGGGGGGAGACCTGGCAGTGATCAGTGACTGGTTGGAGCTGGCAGTCACAGTTGTAGAAAGCACACTTGAATCAGTGGATGGTGCAATGGTTGTGGTGGTACTGGTGGCTTCAGTAGCTGGGGGCAACAGCGTCATTTTGGTAGGATGAATTATCTTTTGGATGGTAGACCACCTAGTTGCCTCTGTGATGGTGGATGATTGAAGTTTAATAATTGGGATTCTCCTTGCCGTGGTTTTGGAAGTAGATGGGACTAGGGTTATTGGATTGGTTGTGTTGAGTGGCCTTACAGTTGACTGACTGGTGAGGGCATTGCTCGGCAGATGGAGAAATTTAGAATTATACTGCCTTGTGATTGTAGTTGGATTCACTCCAGCTGAGGTTAAAAGAGGCTTGTTTGATTGTGCATCTTTGACAGCAGTGTTAACTGCAGTGGCAACATCATGAGATGCTTCAGTGGGTACTGAAGTGTCTGGAGATAATGGAATCCTAGTTTTTGTTGGACGCATCTTTCTACTTTCAGCTGCTGATGTCACCAAGCGATTACGCCTCAGGGTTGCTCGTGATGATGGTTGTATACGCTTCCTTGGTCTCTTAAACTTGCCTGATATCCTCCGACGGAGTCCCATTCTGCGTGTGGTGTGAGTTGTTTGGGTAGTGGCTGCAGTGGTGGTTACAGTCTCTGCAGTGATGGGAATGGTTGTAACTGTTGTTGGTGGATTTGTTGTTGAAGGAGTATGGAGGAAAACAGCAGGGAGATTCGTAGTTAGCTTCATTTGGTTGCTATTGGGATTTGATGTCAAGATGTGGGGTTTCAGTGAGCCTCCTACAGCCTGCGATGCCATTACACTGTGAGGAGTAGGCTTTGTTAAAATGATAGACATTTTAGGAGCAGCAGTTTTGGCCTGGGAACTCTTGATGGGCTTACTAAGCCTTCTCAAAGCATCCTTCTGATTTTTCACTCCAAAAAGCCGATTCCAAGGGATCTTCTCACGAACAATCTTGGAGGACTGTGTTGAAGGCTTGGCAGTCATCACAGTAGGCGTAGAGAGAAGGTCAAGATAAGGTGACCTTCCTGGTAATCTCCCGCTAGTATGTGTTGTTCTGGCAACTGAACTAGTCTCAGTGAGCTGTGTAGTGGTTTCAGACTCTGGAGTTTGTGTTCCAGCATCAGCCCCAGTCACCCATTGTGACCAGGTCGTTCCCACCTCAGGATCACTAACTCTTTGCATTTCTTCCATTGGATAAATGCGGGTGTGTTTGGTTGTAGCTTCACCGGCACTCAAATCTCCAGATTGCTGGACGGATGCTTGCACAGACCTGGTACTTGATCCATTTGGCACTGGTGCTGGTTGTGGAAGTGGAGGTCCTAGTGGGACCTGGGTAACAGGGGGCATGCGATTTGTGCTGGAGGCTTCAGAATGCATCAAGGTGGACAGTGTTGTTCTCTCCTCAGACCAAGCAGGCCTCCTCATTTTGGGTCTCACAATCTTGTACCTGTGTCTCCACATGCCTGGCCTACCAAAGCGACGTCTATGGGGGAATTTCCGTCGCCACTCAAAGCGCTGTGGTTTGGAAACTGGAGCACCAGTGGTCGCTTCCCTTATAATGTGAAGCTGCTGAGTGAGGATGGTGGATAGGGATGTAGTCAATGGAGATGTGATTTTCTGAGTGGTTTTAAACAGAATTCGATTCCCATCCTCTTTGGCCATAGTAACTGTTGCAATGTGAGTGTGATAGTCACGCAGCCTTTCAGTCTCACTTTGTGACACTGCCACAAGGTCAACCTTTCCTGTTGTATAAGTTATTGATGACGTGTGCTCCTTTGGTGTGTCTACGGTCAACGGTATTGGCGTCGGAGTTGACATGTAATGGGGCTCCTTAAAATTGCTAGAAATTGTCAGCTGAAGTTCTGCATTTGCTTCGGGTGGTTCAGATACATGCGGAGTTGCAGTTGGCCTCTGGGATATCACTCTGATAGATTCCTTTTTAGTAATGGTCTCTGTTACCTTTGGAAACAAACTAGAATCTGTAGCCACCTTTAGAATTGGAGGAGCTACAGCTTTTGTGTCTGGCTTTGTTGTGTGAAATTGCTTTACAACCGGAAGAACTAATTTCAACTGTGGACCAATTTCAGTTGACGTCTCAGTGATAGGATGTGATGGAATACTTGAAACAACGGTAGGTGGTGTGGTTACTACCACCATAAGTTCTTTCTCTTCTGCATCTTCCAAGTCAACCCCTGATGTTTCCTCATCAGCTGTTGTCTCTGATGACAAATCTTTCACGTGAGGTTTGATGGTGATTTTACGTGTTGCGGTTTTTGTGGAGACTTTTTTTCTGACCTTTGCCAGATACTCTGCCCAGTGCTGAGGGTCTACTCTCCTTCTTGGTTGTTTCAAAAGTCTACGGTTAGGCCACCGATGTGGTTTTGCGCCACTGCCATGAATTCTCCTCCTGGGGGTAACTGTGGCTGCTGTGCTTGTTTCCGGGTGAGGTGTGAGCTGTGAACTGCTGGTCGTAATAGAGTATGTCTCGTCCTCTGAGGTACTCTGAGAAGAGAACTGATCATGCTGCAAATCTTCAGACTCCAGCAAGTCTTCCTCACTCTCCCCGGATCCAAAGTCTCCCTCTGCCCTGGCGTTACTTTCAGCAATTTCATTCTCAGGAGAAATTCTGGACCCAGTAACCATCAGTTGTAATGCCAAGAGATCAATTCCATATCGGTTCGCGGCCAAACACCTGTAATAGCCACTGTCCCTGGTTGTTAGCTTTTTTATCTTTAAAGTCCCATTTGGGGTTATCTCCTTACTCCCAGTTGTTTGATGTAATACTCTATGGTCAGGGAGAACCCAACTAATGGATGCATTTGGAATGCCAGTTGCTTGGCACGGCAGAAGGATTGAGTCGCCACCTGATTTAGAAATGTAAGGGCCATTTATATAGCTCTCTACCACATTAGGGTCCAGAATGATAACTCTGAAGCTCAGCACATCTGCATCTTGGTAATTGGTTCCCACACAATGATAGATGCCAGTGTCGTATAGGTCAGCTATCCTTAGTACGAACTTGCCATCTGCATTGACTGAAATCCGGCTATCGTCGCTGCTGTATGGAGCGCGCACTTTGCTGCCATCTGGAAGTATCCATGCAATGATGGGTTTGGGGTCACCAATGGCTTGGCACTCCAACTCCACTGTCCCACCTACCACCACAAAGTGCTCCATTCTTGCATCTTTGGCTTTCTTTATCATCACCCAACTATTTTTCCCAGGTTTAGCTTCTAGGTCTTGCAAGTTAATCTGAACCTCTACCTGATACTTGATTTGCAAAACGTTCAACGTTGTCCGAGTCCTGTCCATCTGCAGGGCGATCTCGTCTTGCATTAGCCACGCGGGATCTGCCCTGATCTGCATCTCAACACCAGTAAACTGGTGCAAGTCCGAGGCCGGTGACTGTTTATACAGATAACTCATGTACGGTGTTTTGCTCAGCAATGTATCCTTCTCAAGTCGTAGAGGTGAATCAGTGTACATTGCCAAGATGCCCCAAAGCCGTTGGATCTGTTCATAGTCGACATAGCAGACCAGGAAGGTTGACAGGGAAGAGTTTAGCAGCACGTAGCCTTCTTTTTGATCCAGGCTTACCTGTGGTGTTTCTAAGGGTCTGTGAATGTTGCAAGTTATTTCACAGCCATTCCCAGACTGATCGCTCATGTTCAAATTCATCTGACCTAATGGGGCCACAAAATCCTTGGCATTAACGGCAGCGTAATCCCCCTCTTCTTGAAGAGTGCTGTTTCTGATTTTCAGTGGAGATTGGATACTTGGTGGTGCACATGCAAATACTGAAGGAGGCAGCTGTAAAATAGTTTTGCCCCTAGAGACACCTGGTGACGTGCACAAAGGACAGATCTGACCATTTGGATAATTTCGGTCTCTCTTGCATTTGATTGTTCCTGGAGAAGAAAGAAAAATCAATAGTATTTTTCTGGTTTTTACATTGGCAAGTATTGTTAATCTAAGAAAAAGGAATTAATTATCTGTGCAGTTGATGTTCTCATACATCTTATTGCAAACCAAAGTTTAATTAAGTGGGAGAATGTTGGATTGAGTTGTGTAATAATGAAATGGGTTCAACAGTCTTTCAGATTCCTTTTCATCTTTTCTAGTTCTTGTCTAATTGATGGGATTTTCTGCCAAGTTATCATATTGACATTTATTTAACCTGTTGTTTAACTGGGAGCTTGTCTGGAAAACAAATATCTAAGACTGATGTCCTACAGCTTTCTGCAGGCACTCAAAGCAATATGAGAAGGAATCTTTAGGAAAACTTGCAGTTACTGAAAGTTAAATTAAAACTTCTGAATCTCTGTGCTCCCCAAACCACTTAGCAGTAAATGTGAAATCGACATTACAGCTAAATCTTTCAGAAACATGCTAAGACAAAGTCCAAAATGATGTGATTCTTTCAGGCTTAAAGCAGAGTAATTATCAAGAGGAATAATTTGGGAGGTTCTTCTCAACAAGACAGAACATTAGCTTACATCCTCATAAAGAAGGGCTCCTTTCTTACAGTTGTGAAGGGATATTTAAAGATACAGACGGTCAAACAGGTAAAGAATTTAGTTTACTAAAATAGATCTTGTCACTTGACCTTCACACACAAGGCTTGAAATTTAATTCAACATTATCAATCTAGACATGATATATTTTGCATTTCTTGCATGCATTAATGGAAAGATCATGTCATGCTTAGCTTTCACACCTCGGTATGTGTTATAACCCGCTTAGGTTTGTCTACCACCATATAATTAAGATTATACCTCCTTTATTCCAAGGAAGGATGGTGCAAAATTGTTTTTCTCCCTTACATTATTGCCTCCCTCTCCCTTGGACCGATGAATAAGCCTTATTTGTACTGTCCCCAATCCTATAGGTACACAAGAGAAAGACACAGGAGAAAGACGAGTCCATGTAGCCCCTTTCACCTGTTCAATCGTTCAGTGAGATCATGGTTTATCTATGACTGAGCTCCAAATATACATTTTTGCCCCATATCTCTTGATAACGTTAGCTACTAAAAATCTACTAACCTCAGTTTTAAAACTGCAAATCGCTTAAAAATAATTTGTTACGAGTGATAAGTGTGCTAAACTTCTAATAGGCTTAGCGGGAGAACTGATCCCTAATTAAGAGTGAAGGGCTGCTTTTCTTGGAGAGGAGAAGGCTCAGAGGAGATTTGATGGATGTTTTCATAATCATGAGACGTTTTAGACAGACAAATAGGGAGAACCTGTTCCTACTCACGGGAGCCATGATGTGGAGGTGCTGGTGTTGGACTGAGGTGGACAAGGTCAGAAATCACACAACACCAGATTATAGTCCAACACGTTTATTTGAAATCACAGGCTTTTGGAGAACTTCACGTGACAAGTGAGCAGTGCTCCGAAAGCTTGTGATTTCAATTAAACCCTTCTGGACTGTAACTTGGTGTCGCGTGACTTCTGATTTTACACATGGAAGGATTGAGATCCAGAGGGCGCAGATTTCTTGCAAAAGAAGAAAATGTGATCTGAGATTTTTTTTTCACACAGCTAGCAGTTAGTGCCTGGAATGCATTGCCGGGTGTGTGGTGGAGTCTGGTACAACTGAGACATCGTAGAGGGCATTAAATGATTATTTAAATAGAAATAATACGCTGGTTCCAGGAAAAGGACAAGAGATTGACTCTGAGCCAAATTGCTCAGAGAACGGGTGCTGGTGCAATGGACCAAATAGCATCCTAACATTATTGGATCCCATCACTGAAAGCTCCTGCTTTGGTTTTAAAAATGCCCCCAACTCTTCCTCTAGTTTCTCCTATTCTACCCTATTTAATCCCCTTAATATCTTGAAAACTTCAATAAAATAATGCTTTAACCTTCTAAATTCTAAGGAATATAGATTGTATGACCTCTCCTCCTGATTTACCCCCAAAATGTCATTCTGGTAAATCTTCCTTATAATTTCTCTCTAAGGCCAACATATCATTCCTGGTATGCGGTGCTCAGAATTACTCACAATACTCCAGCTATGCTTTAAGCAAGGTGTGGTATAGTTGAACAAAAACAGAGTTGCTGGAAAAGCTCAGCAGGTCTGGCAGCATCTGTGAAGGAAAAAACAGAGTTAACGTTTCGGGTCCGGGGACACTTCCTCAGAACAATTGTACAGCTGAAATATGACTTTTCCCATTTGTATTCTAGCCCTCTAAATACAAAGGTCAGCCTTTTTGATTATTTTCTGGACCAGTATGGGACATTTGCTATGTAGAAGGTACCCTCTCCTATCCTTTTTAGGTCAGAAGTGGATGACACATTTGCTTATATTGAAATCCATTTGCCATAAATTTTGTCTAGTCACTTAACCTTGCAATCTCTGTTTGTACATCCGATGTTTTCATTTCCATTTCCAGGGTGAGGGATGGGGGTAAATTAGGGCTCAATAATTGGTGACCAGGGCCCACTTGCACAGGTCTGCCATGTTGTAATTTTTGTCCTTGTTGGCACTCTGGCCACTGCCCCTCCAATGCAGCTATGTCACCAGCCATAAATTCTCACCAGACGTAACACCTTCATTTTGGAGACCCCTGGATGACCCTGGTGGAGCTCAGCCAGAATCTGGTAGTGACCTTTGCTCAGGACAATCGGTTTTGCTCTACACTGTACTGTGCTGTCCTGTCCTGTGATCTGGTCTCTCCCGGTCCAAAAAGCTTTCAGTCCTGGTATGATGGCCCTCTGCCTTTCCTCCATCACCACTAGCTCTTTCAGTTTTGCCAGGACTTGGTCTTTCTGCGTCCAAAGTTGAATATTGTCAGCTGTGACTGGAAGTGTGACCAGAAAACTTAAAACCATTTCGGACTCTTCCAGTGATGGTACCACCGGTGGTGTATCTGCCAGTGGGAGGCAGTTCAATGCATCCACATTCACAACTCGGCCTCGCGGATGTTGTTCCAACTTGTCATTATACACACTTAATATTAGAGCCCACCACTGAATTCGGCCTGAAGCTATGGGTAGCACTGTCTTGTCCTCTTTAAGAATGCCTAGTAGGGGTTTGTGGTCCGTTATGATCACAAATTTACACCCATAAAGGTATTGGTGGAACCTCCTGACTCCAAGTATGACCACAAACCTTCCTTCTCTATCTGGGTGTATTTACACCCTGCATTAGCCAAAATCCTGGATGCATACGCTATTGTGCGTTCCTCTCCATTGGGCCACCTATGAGCTAATACTACCCTGATGCCATACAGGGAGGAATTGCACGTCAACACCAGCTCTCGCTTGGGATCATAGTGGACTAATACCTTACAAAACGATAGCCGTGTCTTCACTTCCCTTAAAACTGTGGCTTGGCTACGCAACCACTTCCAAGACTAACCCTTTTTTAGGAGTTGATGCAAAGTGCCAGGATGGAGGCCCAGTTATGTATGAACTTACTGTAATAATTCATCAGCTTAAGGAAAGACCTAAGCCCTGGTGTAGACGTGGGAGCTGGGGAGCCTTGATCGTCCTCACTTTATCTTATAACAGCTGCAACCCAGTCTTGTCAACTCTGTAGACCAATTAGGTCACTTGAGGTGCCTGGTACACATTTTTCCCTTCTTGGGTGTACACCCACATGGGAGAAATTTCTATGGATTGTGTCCAAGTTCTCCAAGAGCTCCTTATTGGTCTTCCCTTTCATCAGCATGTCATCTGGATGAATAGTAACCTGGGGCAGACCTTACAAAGACTTTGCCATCATCCGCTGAAAGATTGCACAGGCTGATGATACCCCAAATGGCAGTTTTGTATATTGGTAGAAGCCTTTATGGGTATTAATTGTAGCACTCTTGTTGCCACTGAAATAACTCCACAAAGGCCTGGACCTCTGACACTAGTCCAGCTCCATCACAGCCTGAGTCTCACAATCTCTGACACTCCTCTTTTTATCTGTCAGCCAGGGCTCCCTGATTAGACCAAATCCAATCAGGGAACTCATATTCTATGAGGTCACCTGGCTGATCTCATTAGAATTACAACAATCGTTTGCCTGCAGTTCCATGAGCTCATAGTTTCATATGACGGGGACCTACGTACAAGCCTCTGGCCCTGAAATGGTTACACACATTGTGTTTCCTGGCCAGTATCTCTGTCTCAGGCTTGCTGCAGTGCTGCAGTGAGGCTCAGCACAAGCTGGGAGAACAGCATCTCATCCTCCTCTTGGGGACCCTGCAGCCTTCAGGACTCAATATCAAGTTCAATCATTTTAGAACCTGGACACCTTCCTCCATGTCCTTTCCCCAGCCCCAACAACCCAGGCCGTGTCAAGGCACAGGCTGCGATCAGCACAGCCAACCCATTTCACCTACTTATAGTCCCCATTATCAGCTTTTCTTTCTCCTGAACATACTATCATCCATCCTTTTGTCTCTCTAACTGTCATTCCCCCCCTCTTTTTCTCTTTGGGTTGCATCTGCCCCTCTCTGCTCACTCCTTTTCCACCCCACCTTCTGTCTTCAGCATATATACAATCTGTTCCTAGCTACTACCAGTTCTGAAGAAGGATCACTGGACTCAAAACATTAACTCTGCTTTCTCTCCACAGTTGCTGCCAGACATGTTGAATTCTGCAGCAATATCTGCCTTTGTTACCCTCAACAATGGAAAAATGTAACCTGTATCTCTAAATCCTCCCACTGTCTCACAAAGCCAATTTAATTTTAGTCTCTCTGTTTGCACACAGAACTCTGTTTGCCGACATACCCACTTGCAGACTTACGGACCAAGAGCATTTGCAGACTCACAGAAGTATACACTGTTCTTATGAACTTTTAAGTACCAGATTTGTTTAATTTCTTTCCAACTCCTACTTTGCTAACAATGGCCCACTTTTTCCATTTGGCCAAAGGCACAACGGATTGAGCAACGTTTCGGATTTGAGACTGTAAAAAGCACTTCAGAGATCTTACTTCAAAGTATATCTAAATGAGCAACACACTAACTTTCTGCTGGTTTTCCAAATTTGAAGCTGGAATGAATAAATATCTTCTCATTTTCGTGCTCGCTTCACCAAACAACAAATGAATTCTGATTAGTTTTAAACTGTTCTTCCTTATGTAGTTAAGACTTTACAGCCGTAAAATGACAGGGCACATAAGCAGAGTAGAAATTTCAGCAAAAAGTGATATACTGGAGTAAAACCTCATCTTGGATGACAATGATAAATAGATGGCACCACATGGACTGCTATTCTGCACTGCATATGAAGTTTGTGGAAATAAATGTTCCAGGTGCACAGAAACCAGGCAACAAAAGGCAATGTTTTGAACTATTAGTCAAGGTGAATTTTCATCCCCATTTTATCTAGCATTGTACCTGGATTATAAGCTTCAGCAACAGGTACCATTTGACAGTAGATGGACTACAATGTAGGTTTACAAGAATGATACCTAGACTTCAGGGCTTAAGTTATGAGGAGAGATTATACACATTATGCCTGTTTATTCTAGAATTTAGAAGGTTAAGGGGTGATCTGTTCAAACTGTTCGAGACAATGAACAGGAGAAGACAGGGTAGATAAAGATAAACTATTTCCACTGGTGGGCAGTTCTAGAACTAGGGGGCATAGTTCTGAGGAAACGTCACCAGACCCGAAACGTTAACTCTGTTTTTTCCTTCACAGATGCTGCCAGACCTGCTGGGCTTTTCCAGCTAACTTTGTTTTTGTTCCTGTTGTAGTCTGAGAATTAGGTCCAGACAATTTAGGAGAGATGTTAGGAAGTGCTTCTACACTCAAAGGATGGTAGAGGTTCGGAACTCTCTTCCACAAACGACAATGAATGCTACATCTATTGTTGATTTTAAACCTGAAATAGATAAGGTTTGTTAAGCAAAGGAATTAAGGGATATAGGCCAAAGGCAGGGATATGGATTTAGACCACAGATCAGCCATGATCCCCTTGAATGGTGGAATAGGCTTGAGGGATTGAACAGCCTACTCCAGTTCCTATGTTTCATAGAATCATATAATCCCTACAGTGTGGAAAGAGGTTTCTATGGGTGCGCCACGTAGTTGTGATTTGCTCGCAGTTATTGAAAATGATGGCAGGATAGATAAATCATTGATCATACCTGGTAGTCTTTCATTGAGTTCAGTTAACCACCTCAAGTTACAATCACAAGACCATTGGTTTCCGTGCAGATAGATGCTTTCAAGTTCTGGGATATAAGATAGCAGATCACTGGGAATGGATGTTAGAGCATTATCTGACAGATAAATGTGCTTTATTGAAGACATTTTGAAGATCTGGCTGAAGCGAAAAGTGACAAATGTATCTCTGTGTAGTTCCTGAAGCATGTTTCCTTCCAAGTGGAGCAGTTTCAATGAAGTGAGCCCATAGAATGCTTCAGGGTTAATGAATTCAATGCTGTTGTGGTCCATATGTAACCGCACTATGTTGCGAAGGCCATGGAAAGTCTCACGATTCAGTGCTTTAATCTTGTTGTAGCTCATCTTCAGAACCTTTAAAAATCAACAAATAAGATGATTATAGCCCATTCTATGGTATCTACAAACAATGGTCATACACACAACACTGTAGGAACCTATAAAATGATGTGGAGATGCTGGCGTTGGACTGAGGTTACAAAATCAGAGATCACGCGACATCAGGTTATAGACCAACAGATTTATTTAAAATCACAAGCTTTCAGAGTGCTGCTCCTTCATAAGGTGAAGTGGAGCGGGGGGGGGGCGCGCACAGGCACAGAATATATAGGTGGTGGACCAATTAAAGTTTATGCGGCTTGATAGAATCCACTCATAATTACATTTTAATTGATGTTGTGGTAATCATTGCAATCAAAGGTTACTTTAGTCAACTAGAAGTTGCTCAGAAGATCCTGACACATTGGGGCCATGTGTGGAAGATATAACTAGCTTTGTGATTGACTGGAGTCAGAATTACAAGAACAACAGACGCTGACTGCACTGCTACATGCATATCCACTCCTGTTTTAAGGTGCCAAGGACATTGACCAACTTGCCCATGTTATAAAGATTAGGAACAGGCTACTGGACTAGTTTAGTGTTCATCTTCTATACCAGCCATAATACTAACCTTGTGTAACCTCTCTGCATGTCTCATTATCTGCTCACCTTAAATAACCTATCTAACACAATCTTCAATGTTGAAGTGCTCTAACCTCTAGTCACGGACTCCAGTGATGCATTCTACAGCCACATAATTCCCTATGTAAAAACGTTTCTTACCCTTCCTGTGCTAAATATCCACAGAGGCAATAAAAATGAAATTAATAGCTCTGAATATTGTTAATAAATGGCATAAGTTATCTGGGCTTGTCACTGAGAATGAAATCAAAATGGCCAAGAACAAAATTATTCTGGAAGTGCAGGTACATTTCAAAAGCTGATTTACTAACATAGTTAACCTGCCAGAAATGTTGTTTAAGTTGCCATTGACCTTGATTTCTCCACTTACTGTTTGGAAATTTACAACAAAATTTGTGAAACCTTACTGTTTGTGTAATAGTTATGTTAGTGGAGTACTAATGCAGAGGCCATGAACTAACAATTGGAGAACCAGCTTGAAAAATTTAAATTATAGCATGTTGGGCAGTGATAAAACATGAACGTTCTTTAGTGGAGGAAAAACACCATTGTTCTTCTGTCTGCCTGAAACGTGTTTCCAGTCTGACATCAATATGCCTGTTTCCTAATTGTCCTCTGAATTTACGACGCATTACTTGTATCAAACGCTGGAAAGGGAGCCATGTGGAGATTAGGTCCCGTTTTGACACTGAGGACAACGCCCATGTGTCAGGAGCCACTGTGCTAAAGTGGTGTTTGATGACAACCATGATGCATTGCAGTGATTTGCCAACGCTGCTTTGACAGTATTGGCCAAACCCATGATGCCCAACCTTGAAGGACAGGGTGGCAATTGTATGGGGACACTTATATTGGCCGAGTGACCTATCATTCTGATTCTGGCATACGTTGTTCTCTCTTCATGGTCACTAAGCCTTTACCCTTGACCTTCCTAATTAACTGAAGGATGTGGGCCTGTCATTTCCTGCTCAGTGCAATGAGGGGCAGGCAAATGGATACCAAACTTACCAGCTGTGCCCGCATCCTGAGAATGAATTGAAGTAACACTCTACTTTCCAACCAATTTTGGTTGACCTTACCTGCAGTGACTGCAGATCCTGAAAGACCTTGTCTGGTATCTCTTGAATCTTGTTACTGTGAAGCATCAACAGTTCGAGATTTTTCAGCCCAGCAAAACTGGTGCTGGTTAGCTCCATCAGGTTATTATAACTGCAAGGAAATGACAACCTTAGTATCGGAAGAGGACCAGTCTAAAGCAGCACAGAAGGAAAGTTGGGCTGAAACTCACCCCAAATTTATACGCTCTACTTGAGTTTGGATGCCGTCTGGGATGGCGCTGAGGTATCTGAAGGTGCAGTGGATTTCGGTCGGCACGTAGCAGGCGCATAGCTTGGGGCAAGCGGCGCAGAGGCACCAGCGCCCGACGAGAGCTGCCAACGTCACGAGCAGGCCACAATGCCCAGAGAAGAGAGACAGACTCCTTTGGCGGACTGCACTCATCCTCTTTGACCCTTTAGCAAAGGGTTACATACCGCAAGGTCAAACTCCCTGCAAATGGACCAGGGACTAGAAAGAGCCTGAGTGGGATTGAAAGCAAAAAGGGAATGTTGAGCGTTAGTATTCAAAACTGAGATTCAAAGATCCTATTGAAACGGTTGCATGCGCAAAATTGCATATGTTAAGGTACATTAACAACTCAGTAAAACTATTAGATCATTATTTTATTTTGTGTTAGTATGCATCTCTGTCACAGAGGCCAGAACAATGAATATTTTCAAGATGGAGTTAGGAAAAGTTCTTAAGACTAACAGGTGAAAGGGTATGGGGAGAGAAAGCAGGAACAGGGGACTGAGTTTGTGACTCAGCCCAAACACGGTTTTATCACAACTGGATGGAAACTTGCGATTAATATTTCCTTCCAATCCGTCCTCATCACCACCAACGCAGTGAACAATTCCAACAACCCTAGCTTCATCGTTCACCCACTTCATTCTTAAACAGAGGTGGGAGCTGGCTCATTTGTGAAGCTGTTTCTTAAGGTTTGCAAGAGTAGTCTCCAAGCTGCCAAGATCATATTGAATGGCAGAATAGGTTCAAAGGGCCGAATAGCTGACCCTTCTCCTGTTTTCTGTGTTTCCATTGTGTGTTATACCAGTGTACCATATTATACCGGCATAAAATCACACAGCCAGGTACGGAATGCAGTTGGAAATGTGGGCGAGGCGGGTTCAATTGAGGCGTTCAAGAGGGGCATTGGATGATAACATGGATAGAAATGGTGTATAGGGATGTGGGGAAAAGGCAAGAGGTTGGCAGCAAATAACAGAACCTTTGCCAAACAATGGGCTGAATGGCCTCCTTCTGTTCCATAACAATTCTGTCAAATATTATAAGAATATAAACTTTGTGGTCAATTGTCGAATTAATGTTTTGGGAGGTGAGAAGTCTCCCCCTGGGCAGGTTCAGAAATGTCTACAGCTCCTTCAGACCAGGCACTGACCCTTTTATTCTTGCTCTGGGTGGAATTGAAGCCAGGAACGCACCTAGATACAGGGTGAGCACACCTCTTCCTTTGCTGACTGAGTTCACCGGCCCTCCAGTTACACACACGTACACACACACACACTACACAAGTCCCTCTCTTCCCAGTCCAGCTCAACACTGGCACACATACACACACTGCAGCAAGCTGAGCTTATGAACCAGCCCAAACACAGTTTCATCAGAACTGAATGGAAACTTGTAATTAACGCCTCATTCCAATCCCACGCCTCGACTCCCTCATCACCTCCAATGCAGCAAACAATTCCAACAACCGTTGTTTTATCACTCAGACACTTCATTCCCACAACATTTGTGAAGCTGTTTCACAAAATTTGGAGGAATGGTGCCCCAACTCACCCTCTCCACCCCCCCTAAAAGAAACGAGATTTTATAATCATGTATTAAGATAATGCCAGAAGTCCCACGATACCAGGTTATAGTCCAACAGGTTTATCTGAAAGCTGGTGTGATTTCACATAAATCTGTTGGAATATAATCTGCATCGTGTGACTTCTGTCTGACCTCGTCCGCCCCAGTCCAACACCGGCCCCTCCACATCATATACAAAATAATAGTCTAATGGTTTTGACAAGGAATGAGAATCAGGAACTGAGCGTTCAGAATCAGGACGAAGTGGGATTTGGAAACGGGGTAGTTTTATACATTATACCTTCTGCATCAGTCTCTCAGGGAAGGTTGTGGAGGGCTATTTAAGTCAGTGCTGGGAGTTTGAAAGTCTGCATTAAGGACACGCTAGGTCAGACACATTCCCCCTGCTAGCCCGGCCTTACGCGCAGAATTACACTGCAGAGGACGGCCGTTCGGCCCATTCAGTCTGTACCGGCTCTCCCAAGCGTAAGAGGATCCCTTCTCCACGCTCTAGTCGATCCACCTGGGGTCTCGCACCCGCATCCCCACCTCCCCCCCCAACCGGCAAAAGGCATGCAGATATTGAGCTTGTTTGACTTTGTTTTTGGCAATAACTGAATTTACAGGGTGAGGGTATTTTCACACATTGGGGGGTGGGGGGGAAGCAACAGACTTCGTTTCTCTGCCCAGATCCAAACAGCAGCACTACCTTGTAGTTATTTGTGGAGTAGAACGCGATAAAATACAAACCCCGCAACAAATCGAGCAGCAGGAACCAGGTTGAACTGGACTTATACCTCCTTAGGATTCAGGTCAATGAGGCAGCTCCAACGTTGCTCAGTCCAGAAACAATCCAAACCCGGATTACTGAGATCCACCTGTTGCTCCAAGCCCCTTTTTCTCTGGTAGCGAACAAAAAAAAAAGGATCCAGTCAGGGCTTGAATTCAACCTGAAGTTTGTTTAGACAAGTCTGGAGCTGCGCAGTGTTACAGACAGCAGTAACGACCCTCCCCTAGCACAGCTCTGAATGTACGGTGTGAGTTATCCAGAGAGGGCAGGCTGTTCTACAGGCACAGAACTCCAGCAAACCAATGCCCTTTATACGTATCAAACCTTTCTCTCTCAGCCCTGTCTCTGAACCAGCCCGGTTCATTCCACCCACTTCCCCCAGGAACTTCCAAGTGACTGTAGTTCATTTAGGATTTACTTCTCTCAGAGAGAGAGAGCGCTGTTTTCACTCATTCCCGCCCAGTTTCTCAGATGAGATGTTGCCAATCTGTAAATTGTCCCTACTTTTGGCTGCTGAGCTCATTCATGCTTTTACAGAGAAATTCCTCCTTCACTCATTCACAAACACACGTCCTTTCTCCCCTTTTATTCAGACGTGGAGCTTTAGTGTCACCAGAAAGTGTCACCAGTATTTGTTACCCATCCCTGATTGCCCTTGCTCTTGCTCGGGCCGTTTCAGAGGGTACTTACCGTTTTATAGAAATGGAGTCACATACAGTCTAGAAGGGAAAAGAAGTAGCACTTGCAAATTATGCATATTTGTCGCAATTTTTACACCTCAAAATAATGTACCAGTATCAAAAGAAAAAGGACTGTGCATGCTGGAAATCAGAAACAAAAGTGGAAATTGCTAGAAAAACTCAACAGGTCTGGCAGCATCTGTGGAGAGAAATCAGAGTTAACATTTCAGGACCAGTTCTGAAGAAGATTCACTGTACCTGAAACATTAGCTCTACTTTTTGCTTATTCACTCATGGAATGAGGGCATCGCTGGCTAGGCCAGCATTTATTGCCAATCCCTAATTCCCAAAGGACTGTTAAGAGTCAACCACATTGCTGTGGGTCTGGAGTCACATGTAGGCCAGACCATGTAAGGATGGCAGTCTCCTTCCCTAAAGGACATTAGTGAACCAGATGGGATTTTTCCTGACAATCAGCATCATGATCATCATTAGATTCTTAATTCCAGATTATTATTGAATTCAAATTCCACCATCTGCCATGACAGGATTTGAACCCAGGTCCCCAGAACATTGGAGATAACAAGGTGTAGAGCTGGATCAACACAGCAGGCCAAGCAGCATCAGAGGAGCAGGAAAGCTAACGTTTCGGTCCTCGATCCTTGGCCTGCTGTGTTCATCCAGGCCTACACTTTGTTATCTCAGATTCTCCAGCATCTGCAGTTCCTACTATCTCCTCCCCAGAACATTACCTGGGTCTCTAGATTAATAGACTAGTGACAATACCACTAGATATTAGATAATACCACTTTGTCTCCACAGGTGCTACCAGTCCTGTTGCATTTTTTCCAGCATTTTTAGCTTTTCTTTCTGGTATAACAATATGTTCATTTCCAAGTATAATTGTATTTTTCCATCTGGTAGGCCAGACCAGATAAGGATAGCAGATTAAATTGCGGCTTGAGGGGCTGAATGGTCTACTTCTGTTCCTACTTCTCTCGATTTTATTTCCTTCCCCAGAGGACATTGGTGAACCAGATAGTTTTTTTCAACAATCAACTGCAGTTACACGGTGACTGTCACTGAGATGAGCTTTCAACGACTGATTTATTAACTAAATCTAACTACCCCAGAGGGAACTGAGCCCAGATCCCCACAGCATTACTCTAACCTCCCTGATGAAGAATCCCCATGATGTTACTACAACTTCAGCGTCTCAACTCCTCTCCCCCCACCACCCGCCATGCCATGACACACTTGCCACCACAGTTTGAAGATTTTGGGTTTGATTCCCACTATGGAAACTTAGTGACAAACAGCTTGCCTGAGACACCAGATCAGTTCTGAAGGAGTTCTGCACTGTCGGAATTGCAAACCTTCGCATGAAATATTGAATCAAGACCCTGTTACCTTCCTGGATGTTGTGCAAACAATCCTGTGGAACTATTTTAAAGAAGATTGTTGATACAGTGCAATTTTTAGCTTGTTAAATATATAATAATTTAAATATATGTTGTTCATTTGCGTCATTATGTATTACTCCAATATCGCATAAGTCAGCCCTCTTTTCTGTTTTCCCATCATCTTTATTTGTGCTAATCTGGAAAGAATTAGTACGACAAACAGCAGGGGAGTTATCTCTGAAAACCTGACCATTATTTGTCCCACAAGCAGGAACACTGAAGACAGATTATTTGGTCATTGTCTTACTGCTGGGGGCAAATTAAACAATGTTTTGTAACAGTACTTTGCATATACCTACGGCCCCTCTATTCCATGAATTATAGCAGTTCAAGAATGCGGCTCACTAACACCATCCCCAGGGGAATTGGAGATGGGCAACAAATACTGGCTCAGCCAGTGATGCCCACATTCCATGTAAGACTAAGAACAAATGCAAATGACTGCACATCAAAACACTTCATTGTCTGCAAAGCACTTTGTAACGTTCTGAGTTTGCTGCAGGTGCTATATAAAGACAAGTCTTTCCCTTTCACAATCGCACTGATACACATGCGGACATTTCACTCTCACACCATTGATTTAAATAGAGCAATTTCTCTCTTTGCATTTTTCTCTCCCTTTATCCCCAGTTGCCAGTCCCAGGCAGTGATATTCTGTTTGTACTTACCTTTAGTATTCAGTAACCAGGTGGCTACTAATTGACAACTACCAAACAAGCGAAAACCCATTTTAGTTGCACATGTTTTATTTTAATTAGCATTTTGGAAATTCGTACCTTATTGGCATTATCTGGAAGAGTGCAGCTCCATCAACACTCAGGAAGCTTGATGTCATCCAGGACAAAACAGCCTACTTGATAGGTACTACATCCAGAAGAATCCATTCCCTTCACCACTGATACTCAGTAGCAGCAGTAGCAAGATGCACTCCAGAAATTCACCAAAGCTCCTTAGAAAGCACCTTCCAAACCCACAACTGCTTCCATCTAGAAGGACAAAGTTAGCAGATACCTACAAGTTCCCCTCCATTCCTATCACCATCTTGACTTGGAAATATTTTTCTACTCCTTCACGTTAGCTGGATTAACATCATGGAATTCCTTCCCTAAGGGCATGGTGGGTCTACCTACAGCATATGGAATGCAGGTGCCTAAGAAAGCAGCTTACCAGCACCTTCTCAAGGGCCACTAGGGATGGGCAATAAATGTTGAACTAACCATTGAGGCCCATATCCCATGAATGAATTAAAAATATATATATCCACTTATAATTCTGACTATCAAGTTATCATGATCAATTATTTGATCTTACATTGCAACACATTTCACATTTTGGGCCTTAGTTTTCAAGGTGTAATCTCTGTTTCAGCCTTTTCACAATGTGACTGAGAGACTAAGCTGCTCAAATTCTTCTTGCATTAAGTGGGATTTTTACCGATGTTTCATGAATCAGAGTCGCAGAAAATGACCATCTTTCAGCGAAAACTGACGCCATGAACATGTTTCAGACTGCACTAGAGTCCTGCTATTATGGAGAGGAATTCTCCAAGATTGCAACGTGTAAAGATGTGACACTGAATTTATTATGTGTTTTGCTCCTTATAACATCACTGCCAAGGACAGCACCACAGAGGCCGTATAAAACATCTGGAAATGATCGCTTCAAGAGGCAAAGCTAATACCAAAGCTCAATGGTTCTTTAATGTCACTATGCTGACGTGAGTGTCTGGTAGAAAGAGTGCTGGAGAACAGCTTTATATTGTAAACATAGATTTCAATAGTCATTTCAATAATGAGCAGACCACAATCAACATTTAAAACACTTAACAAATATAAAACACGTGTGGTCTGTAGAGTTTTTTTTAGTTTAAAGTATGAATAAAATCAATGGTACAGGCAGAATTTGAGGACATGGGTAGATATGACGTTGTTGTATTGGTTAATATTTCCATGCCTGAAAGAGCAATGGAGGGCGATTCAACAGTAACTTTCAAAATAAAGACTTGCATTTATATAGCACCCTTTGTTGTGAATTCTTTTCCTTTTGACCTATCTATTTGGTCTGCCTAGGAGTCAGAAATCTGAGAATGCTAACTTTCAGGAACAAAGATTTTCAAGGAGTTTGATTTTTTTTTACGTTTTTGATTGTTGAAATGCAACATTTGTTTCCAGCATTAAGAATAGCTTTTGTTGCGAGGTTTTCACTAGGTCACTGAAAGCAGTTCAGGGGTCACTGAAGAATGGCTTAAGGGTGACAGGGTTGGTAGAGAATGAAGAAGTATGTCTATCTAGGCCTGAAACGTCAGCTTTCCTGCTCCTCTGATGCTGCTTGGCCTGCTGTGTTCATCCAGCTCTACACCTTGTTATCTCAGATGAAAGGCAGCTTGATTTGGCGAGACTGCTGAACAGGCAACTGAACTACATTGGTTTCAGGATGAGGTTTCAAGAATATTTAGATAGTTTTATGTTATGAGAAGTCACGAATGAGTTCTAGGAGTTGTTTGATGCAGCTGAGCCGGATTAGAGCTCAGGGTAAAACCCAGAGGAAGTACTAGCTTGATAATGCGAGTTGCTAGTGAAAAGCAGAAGTTGTGACCGTAAGTGCTGGAGTACAGTTTGCAGAATCCGGGGCAGTGCGTAGACTCAGGAAAGTAATGTGACCAACCAGAATGTGAGCAGTCCGTGACAGAATGAATATTGAAGGAGTTTCAAGGCCAGATCGTCAAAAGTGAAGAATTGTAATGCCTTGTGAAGTGTTCATGAGAGTCAATGACCAAAAGTGTTAGTTATGTCTTGGTGGGGAGAGGGGATGCATTGCTGTGAAATCCATACTGACCTGTTTTGACTGCATTTACTAATTAACATACCCTGTCAGTTTTCTGACACAGTGTGTCTGTTAACTATACTTACTTCAGGCTAGTTCTGGATATCTGAATATCAGTTGTATATGGTAGATTGTATACTGTTCTAGCTTTGTTTTGGTAACGTGGATTGTTCTTTGTTCTGATTCCCTTTTGAAAGTTTAAATTGATTCTTTTTTTCACTACACTGTCATGCAGTGTATTTAGATCCTAACCACTCGCTATGTGAATTAACTTTTCCTCAAGTCACCATGGCTTCTTTTGCCAATTCTCTTAAATTTATGCCCTCTGCCTCTTAGGTGTTCCACCACCAAAAAATAGGGTCTCGATGTTTACTCTG